CACGTCCTACAACAGCAGTCAAATGAGATGGAATCTTGTATGGAAGTGTGCATATCTTTTGGCTACCCTAAGAGAACTAGGGATGATTTCTTATTTAGTCTTAAGGACAAGATAATCTAAGTGAGCACTCACATGATTTTCTTAAAGGAGGACTAGATAAGAAATTACAAGCTCTTAAGTTAGGTTATTCTCGATGAGATTTATCTCAGATCAAGAATTTCCAGAATCTCTAGAAGCTTCATCCATTGTTCCCTTGATTGTTCAAGAGGGGATAGATATATCTCTAAGTGAACAAACAAGAGAACCATGATTGGAAATTCAACATGATAATATATAAGTGAAACTAGTAGAAATATTAGTATCACATGTAAAGGAACAATATCAAGGATAATCGGATCCTCAAGAAATTGAAGATCCATCATTTGACCCACTATTTGTTTTACCTATAAATACACAAGGTCTAGTGCAGTACATTCGTAGTAGGAGAGAACCTTGTTAACTCTCAAGTTGTCTCTTGTTGAGTGATATTGATCCTACTAGTTACGATAATACACTAGAAGATGTTGTTGATCAAGTGTTGCTCACGCTATGAACAATGAGATGAAATACTTGTATTTCAACTCCGTTCGGTCCTAGTAAATACACCAAGAGGGGTAAAACCCACAAGGTGCATGTGGACATAAAAGGCAAAGAGAGGATGGACAGAAAGGTGAAAACCTTCAAAGCTAGCTTGGAGGCATTTTTTGCCAGACGCCATGCTCGAGTCTATCCAGATTCTCTTAATTGCTATAAGTCTCAATTATGAGATTTCATTTTGGGAGTTGGATGTCAGGATATCTACATACAACAACCAAAAGGGTTTATAGCAAATGAGCAGGAACACACGGTATGCAAGTTGTGAAAGTCTATTTCATAGACTTAAGCAAGCATCCAGGTCTTGAAACATCATTTTTGATCAGGTTATCAAAATTTTGATTTTGAGAGAACCTTGATGAATGATGTGTATTTGTATGTAAAGGATACAACGGAAGACAATAGCTTTTCTGGTACTTTATGTAGATGATATGCTCCTTATTGGAAACAATGTGGAGGTAATATCAAGCATAAAGAGTTGGCTAAGTTAGTGTTTTGGTATGGAAGTACTGGGGAAGCCAATTATATTCTTGGTATAAAACTCTTATGAGACCGGAAGAATAAGTTGTTGGCATCACCTCAAGCTACTTACATTGACAAAACCCAAAATTCAACATGAGAATTCTAAGAGAAGAATTATAATTCTCAGATGTGAAATTCATCTTCCTAAGGAGTGACCAAAGACTTCTAAGAAGGAAGAATGCATGAGCAAGATATCTTATGCTTTGGCAAAGGTAGACTCACGCATATCATGTTGGGCGTTAAACCAAACATCTGTCACGCAGTGGGAGTAGTGAGATAGTACCATTTTGAACCTAGAGGAATACTAGATTATTGTTAAGCATGTACTCAAGTATCTTTGGAGAACGAGAGATTATATGCTGGTATATTCTAGTGGGAGTCTTGAAAAGCTGAGTTTTCAAATATTCAGTTATTTCAAGTCGATATTGACTCAAGAAAATCAACCTCGAGCTATGAGTTTTTCACTAAACTCAGATAGCATTAGAGGTGGATCTTGCAGACCCAGTTACTAAGAGTTTGCCTGAACTTGTGTTCGAGAGGCATGTTACTTCTTTGGGTCTTAAGAGGATCCCAGACTTGCATTAAGCAAGTGAGAGTTATTGGTTTCATTGTGCTCTTGGAGTAAGACCATGAAACAATAAAATAATTTTCTGAATTTCATAAATAAGGTTTTATTTATTTATTTTGCGCACTATTTACAAACATAAAGGTCCGGATCAAATTGTGGAGTATATGATCATATGGATACGTTCATGGAGGACATGATCCTAGGTTCTCACAATTGATGAATGGATTCACAGCTGTTAAATAAAGTTGGGCACTTTATTTAGGCTGCAATATTTTATGAAATGGTTTTGTCTGAATCATTGTAAAATATTGGTGTGAATTAACATTCACATTGAAAGGATCAAGGAGAGATTTGATTAAGGTTGTTCTTTCTGTCATAAGGAATCAAATTTCCAGTTAACTATAGTTATGTGATTGCTCTTAATCCTGAGTTTATTATAAATAGGTAATCAAATAGTTTTCATTCTTTGATTTATCAACGGGTGAGGTTCGATCTATTGACGGCCAATAACTCGGTATTTTGGGAGTGAGATTATTTGATTATCGGTATTTATGAGATAAACAACATGAAATTTGTAGGATATGTCCCCTTGATATGTTTCGGTACTTGGATATTAAAGACACTGGCCAGTGCATGTAATCCATTAAAGAAACTATCATAGTCAAGGGAATAAATAATTGATTGAGTTACAGAGAACTTGTCAATCAATTATAGACATTCTACAAAGGGGCGATGCATATTCATGTTATAAGTGTTGTTAATCTTGGAGTTCAAGTTCGGGCTTTTAGTGGAATAGCACCGAATTAGATAATCATTCGTTGATTATCAGGAGCCTTGATTAATAACAGATGGTAGATCCCCAAGCTAGCTTGAGACAAGGGATGGGGTATTTTTCGGATAGATGATGACTTATGGGTTACATGATCTTGGGTTTTACGACTCAAGTTTGTATCCAAAAGAGCAAGTGGGAGATTGTTGGGTTTGCTCTTTTACTAAAGCCCAAATGGGTCATTAGTATGAGAAGAGCCCAAGGAACCTAGAGCCCAATGAGCTAGGGTTTCTTGGAACCCATATAAATAGTACCTCTTAAGTCATCAGCCTCTAAGGTCTTTTTTGTGAGAAAGAGGCAAGCTCTGAATCTAATCAGTGCCCACACACTTCCCCTTCCTCCTCGAGAGATAGTTTGGAAGATCTGCCACAGTCCAGCTTCAAGGAGGTTGTTCGTGCTGCGGCGCTGAGGTGAGCTGTTCGTGAAGAGGAATCCTACAAGGGAAGATTCTACACGAGACCTGCGCACCGAGAGGTAATTGTGAAACAAGGATGATTCGGTAAGCATACCAATGTACTAGGTCCTAAACCGCTTCCGCATAAATCTAAGATTTCCTTCAAAGAGGACACAACTTCTTCTTCACGTATATTTGTTTAAGATTATCTTCCAGGAATTATCGGAGCATCTTGGCATTTCGCTGCTGAATGAGCTATTAAATGATCCTACAATGCAGGACTCTTTTGAGTCCATATTTTCAAAAGATAACCCAAAAAACACACGGTTCTCCATTAACTTCTTCGCATGCATTGGACTTGTTGGTCTTGCTGCTAACCTACGTGAGTATTTGAAGAATATGCCACGTCTTATTATGCAACAACAGAAACATTTCTGATGAAAGTGACAGTGACAGAAGACAAAGAAAGAGGAGGAGAAAGTGAAGCAATTTTATGTTTTTTTTATTGGACAAGAAGCAATTTTACGTTGATTAAACGTTAAATGTGAAGTTATGTGTCAATTTTATTCTTAGTGGGATTAATTCAGCAAAAGTTAAATGTCACTTTTGTGATTTTTAAGTTTTTGAAGTTATGTGAGTTTATCGTGGTGTTAAGTGTCTTTGTGTTTTTTCTGGTGGAGTTACAAATTTTGTAATTTAAAAAATTATCATTTGAATGTGAAAGATATTACCTCTGCCTTAGTGAAAAATATCTCCACTATTTTCTTACTCTTCTCCCAACATTTTATGATAGATGTTGAGCTTGTTTTCTGGATAGTTGTTCTGCTCGGAATGTCTTATCTGGATTTGTTTAATTTGTTCTTAAGATCATAATTTTCTTTAAACTCTAGCTCGGGCTTTGAAATTTTGTATTAAGTAATGCAGTCGAACCTTATGCAGTACCACTACTACCAAATTAAAGGTTTGAACGCACAAATTTACAACCGAAAAAAAAATGTCTCAGAATAATATAAAAGCATTAAAACGGCCATCACTAGGTACTTTAAAATTTTGAGTTGAAATGATTTTTTACATGATATCAAAGTGATCACGAGATCAGAAGTTCGATTCTCACCGCCCCACTTTCAAGTGAAATTTATAAAAGAAGGCAGACCAAAAAAATGAACTTGTGCAGCACAAGATAGACCAATAATGAGCTTGTGTCATATCCACATTTCAAGCCCAAAAGCTCTTGCGCGAGGGAATGTGTTAGAGAATAATATAAAAATATTAAAAAAGTCATCACCCAATAATATAAAAGCATTAAAAAAGTCATCACCCAATACCTTAAAGTTTTGGGTTGAAATGATTCTTTATATTTAAATAGATTGTATTAGATTAGGTGTTTATTTTTTACTTGTATAGAAAAAAAAGAAATTGTTCTTCCTTAAGATTTGGCAGCAGGGTTGATTACCGATTGGAAAGGGGAAATATATATATGTTTTTTTTTTCTTTCTTTGTATCGTATGTAAACCTTTATTTTTATTTTCCATTGAATTTCTGGCTTTCCAAAGAGCAAAACTGATTTCAAATATTTAGTTAGGCAAAAAAAAATTTCAGCAACCCATTGAAAGTCAAGATACGCATGTTGATCCTGATTTTTTTTTTTTTTTTAATATCATGGTCCGCAGGCAGAAGCTAGTGTAAATATGTTTGTTGCAAAATTTCTGATCTTTGAGCAACAATAGGAGAGACGAACCCATTTACTTAAAATGTCTTATAAAAATGGTTTGAATATAATACAAAACTAATAGGTAAAAAAATAAGCATTGAAGTTTATTCAAATTGGAAGCAATTGGAATTGGTAACCAGCATGGAAAGATATGAAGAAATTTCATTTATCACAGTGCCGATCCCAACCGGTAGTGTTGAAGGAGAGGATATGGATTTCAGAATGCCAGCATTAAAATGAAGGCGGTTTAAGTTCAATTATATTTAATTGGGATTCAAAACCATTAAACTTCAATTAATTATAAGAATCTTTCCCCCCAATATTCCAGAATATATAGTTCACACTATTTATAAAAGGCATAATCAGCTGTGATTCTCCTAGGATCATAAGCTCCCGTTAGCTCTAAAACCTTCCATTATCTTAAATGATAGATTACAGCAGCTGGGGGTAAGGTAAGAAATTTTATGTCATGGCACCTAATGGCAAAGCGGTGGCATTTGCAAGCCAAAATAGAGAGGTTTGATATTGACACATCTCGAAATGGTTGGTATGACTCCAAGCTTCAAGTCAATGTTTTGAAGTGTAACACCTTGGCATGGGAACAGCTGGCTGCACCTTAAGTCCACTGCAACTGGTGATATTGTTGTTCCTTTTATATTAAAAAAATGTACATTTCTGATCTTCACAAGTGATGGCTGTTACATAGATAAATCAGTGGGATAATTAGTATGTTACTATAGTAAGGGAAATAAATATATATTATGTAAAATGAAAAAAAAAAAAAACCACTTACCTTCCTTTTGCAGTTACCAGGCTCACATTCATATTCCTGGTCAATGATGATAGGATTTTTAACATTTTCCATGGTAATGTCACTGAAGCTTATCTCTGATGCAGCACCTCCATATTTATCTGGCCATGTTTTGATTCTGAGGCCATTGGTTGTGCCAATCAATTGGCTGTTCTTGATACGAATGCCTCTTACCTCAAGCTCATCCTCATACTTTCCAAGGCTACCAATACTGTCATGCATATATATAACAATAAAGAAAATTAATTAAGGAAGAGATCATACCAATTGATCACATCTTAAAGTAACAAGTTTTTGTATAGATATGTGTGTGTGTTGTATTATTTGGCATTACCTAATACCATGTCCAGGGCCACACTTGAGCCTGTTGATGAAAAGTTTTTCGACTCCTTGTATCATAGAGACACAGTCATCCCCAGTTGCAATGGTATTTCTTGATATTATCACATTGATGGAGTGACTGACATGAATTCCATCAGTGTTGGGGCTGGTTTCTGGTGCAAGGAGCTTAAGTTTTCTTAATCTGACATTTGAACTTTTGGTAACGAATATGTGAAAGCCTTTGGGATTGACGGTTCTAATGTTCTGTACAAGTACGTTGGTGACGTCGTTGAATTTAAGGCTCTGCATTCCCATACACCATACAACATTATATATGAGCTCAAATTTATATTAATTAGTAAACTATATAATATACATATAGAACTCATATTTTCTTTTTTCTTTTTTTCTTTTTCTTGTATGGTTTCATATGAATCTCACACGTTTTATCTGTATGAGAAATAAAATTATGTATGTTTAGGGGATAAAAATTACCAGAAACATTATTCCCATAATATAGTTAAAATCATATGGTAATGAAATATATTTACTTACGGCAGGGTTTCTGGCGCATGCGTCGTTGTTTTTTTCGCAATTCTCGGTGAATGCCCATGATTCCTTACCCTGACCATCGAAAGTTCCGCCACCAACGATTTTAAGGCCATTGAGGTCCTCGAACATGAGCCAGTCGGTGTTTTCATACTCACTAATATCGGTGGTGGCCGCAACAGTCCCTTGTACTTGAATTGTTACTGGATGTGGAGTACGGCATGGACCTGCAAAGAACATTGAAGAAACCAAGAATCTCCCAGCAGGAACGAAAAGCCTGCTTTGCACTGTGGTATTGCAGGTCGCTCTCCATGCGTCCATGAAAGCCTGCATGGATATATATATATATATTATCATCCAAATATCAAATTAAATTTGACTATATATCTAATCTAACTACCTTATGAAGATTGATATGTTGAAACCACCTTGATCATATCATATAGATTTTACTAATACTATATTATTATAAAATGTTATATGAGAAAGGAAATTTTCCAATACATCATTCGATTTCTTCCGTACTAACATGGATCTCACTCATAACTTTTTCTAACATTCGAGTCTTATATAATTTTTGTCTTTATGACATAAGAAGGCTCGTCTCGTAAAATGAGAAGTATAATACTCATTGTTATTATTATTATTATTATATAGCCCACGTGCATGGTTGAATTGAATTACCTGAGTGCTGTCGAACACGCCATCAGGTTTGGCACCAAAACTCATGACATTAACAATTTTCTCCCCAGGAAGGAGCACATCCTTAGCCATATTTGCATTCAAAAATATATCAGGACCAGCAACTGGCCTGGCTCTTGGTGCTGCACGCGCATAACAGGCCAATGCAAAGCATAAAATAAGAATAGCGGCTCTCTTTGCAATGGCCATTGCGCCTCAATGCCTTCTAATATATGAACCTTTTTTTTTTTTAATTTAAATGTTGAGCCTCCTGGGGAGGCAAGGAAAATAAGTGGGGAAAGTGATCCCTTTGTCTCAGACCCTGTATTTTATACCATGTTTTCTAGCAAAAACAAACGGTTAATCTAAATGAACGGAGAATGTTAGCTTTCCTGGCTTTAGTTAACTAAATTTAGTGGTGCTTCCTCTGAATTGAGACCTTGCATTCGGGTTCCTCCAAAGTGGGCGATTCCCTAGCTGCCACATCCTATAAGCAGCTCCGGAAAAACGAAAATAAGAAAAACATAAGCTTTTGTCCCTTCATTGGTTCAAAATTATATGCTGTCCCCACAATGGCTGAAATATGCTTTCAGCCAGCAAAACTCACAAAGTATATTTGGATACTTTTTCTGTCTTTCTCTAAAATTACAACCTACTTATCTATCTACTTTTTAAAATATTAGTGAAAATTATCCTGAGGAATAATTAACGATCGATATCAACTACTAATTATTTATATTATAGGTTTAGTGTGTGTTGGGTATGACTCATACTTCGCATGCTGAGGGCCCTTGTTGTTGGGGTCAGCAGAAAGGTAATTGGGGTCCCGCTCCCAGGTGAGCGGGTGGAGGTCCTAGGGAGCCACCCGGTGGGGGTCCGGGGGGCAGCGCAAGGGGTGTAAATGGGTTAGGTCGGCCTACAGGGACCTACGGCCTAGTCTATATTTGGTCAGACTTAGGCTATTATAAATAGTAAAATAAAAAAGGCTTAGGCTTTTAAAAATACCTATTTAGAAAATAGGCCATAGGCTTTTTTGTATATATCTGGCCTATAAGCCTACAGGCCGGCCTGTATCATATTATGTATTTAAAATATAATAAATAAAATTATTATTTTAATAATTTTGAATAATAAAATAATATTAAGTTAGTTATTCGTTTAATAGGCTTAAACAGGCTAACAGGCCTAGGCCAAGACTTTTATTTTTTAAATACAAGTCAGGCCAGACGTGTAATTTGGGGCCTACACAAGCTAATAGGCCAGGTCATACTCAATGTCTGGCCTATTTAAGCCAAAGCCTAGTCCATCCCAGCCCAGCCCATTTACACCCATAGGCAGCGCCCCTAGGCCCGTAAAGGCTAGGTACTATTGTGGGCCTCTAATTTATTGTAATTTTCTTAGTAGTTTGAGCTTGGATCAATGAACAGCTGTTGTTAGGGTTTTTTCTAATCCTATTTATATTTTCCTTGTAAACCGAGTGACTTGTAACTAGTGGCGGTGAAGTGAATATATTACAGACAAGCTGGACATAGCCTGGGTGAACCAGGATAAATCACTGTGTTAATCTCTTTTCTCTTTTATCTTTTCTGTTTTAATCGATTTTGTGTGATTGTCGATTTCCAACAGTGTATGTCCTTTTAAAGAATGTAAGTTGTGTCTTTTTTTTTGTTTTTTTACTCTATATACTCCTGATAGTACATAGTTATAACATGAAAAATTATTTTTTTTTTCATTTTTCATGTCAGCTGATATGAATGAGGAGAGAGAAAAAAAGTAAATTTTTATGTTGTAACTATGTACTACCGGGAGTACATAGAGTAAAAAAATTAAAAGGACACAACTTACATTCTTTTAAAGCACAAATAATTTTCTCTTATATTATTTATCATATTCGAAGAAATAGTTAGTGATATTATATATGGGTAAAGGATTTCTCCAGTCAATGGACACAAGTTATCTCCAGCGAGTCCAAAACGACGTCGTTTTGGGACGAAAACAAGTTATTTTTGTAATTCTAATATATTATAGGGTCATATTAGTCTTTATCATTATAATTTTTAAAACTTATAATACCAAAACGACGTCGTTTTGAGCTCATTGGAGAAATATTTTTCCCATTAATTAATTATCAAATTATATATTATTATAATTAATTAAGATTGAATTACGAAATTAACAATAAAAATTAAAAATAAAAATAATTCCTTATTATGAAAGACATAATTTAATATGTTAAAAGAGAATTAAATATTTTTTTTCTATTTCACACAACTTTGTAAGCATTATTTGATCCTATAATAAGTTGAATCCATTTTTCTTGCTTAATAATATAAAGACTAACTAAGAGACAAATTGATAAGATCTAATAGCAAAAAATATTTTATAATATAATATTTAAAATTTAAAAACTACACTGGCTATTTGTCTATATTACGTGTACCAAAAATTCATATAGTCAGCCGTCATCTATATATACACGATAATTTCGAATTTATTTATTTTTATTAATTTTGACAGGAATATTTCGCATATATTAATGAATAATAGATGATAAAAATTTATCATATCGCACCTAATATTTGAGATTCCAAACACCTTATTAAAATTATAAATGTGACCTTTTTTAATAATTTATATTTTTGAGTTAATATAATTGCTTTATAATACATGAGAGTCTTTGATCAAGTTATTAAAAATTCAATCATCATTGTTGCTATTTTATAAATAATTAATTAATTATTATAAAATTTTCATGTAAAGATAACTTGATCTTTGCATTCATGAATTGTCTCTCTTTTTAGTTTTTACCTTTTATCATAATGGTTGTATTCTTACTCTTTTTGAGCCATTAACCTGCACTATAAAATCATTTTGTGAATGATCTAAACAATGCAACCATGATTATTGCGCAAGAGGGGAAGGTTGCAGTTAAGCAGGGAGTTAGGCTTGGCTCCTAGATCAAATTCTGGTTCCAGAACAGGAGGGCCCAGATGAAGGTATTATTTGTTATTTTCCTCAAAGCGGATTTGTTTTAGTCTAGGAAGTGTAGTGTTTGTCTGCTTATGTCTTTTTATGCTTACCTTCATGAGATTATTTGTCACTTAATCAATTCATAGCTTTTTTGTGTTAAACAATCCAGGCCACCAGCATATAATTGTGCATTCAGGGAAGAGAATGAGGAGATAAGGGATGAGAACGTAGCCATCCCTTTTGAAACTTTTTATTAATTTTTTGCACGTTTCACAACTTTTGAGAATTTTATTGATTTTTGGGATATGGGGTACTCTTGTTATAGAATTTTCATCCTCTTGTTTTGTTTCCCAACATGACAATGTCATGTTACAGGAGAGAAAGACACAGAAAGCAAATAGGAGAGAATCCAAATTCCTTGTCTTAGATATTTAGATTTTTTTTTTTTTTAAAAAAAGTTATTTGCTGGAAAGTTATTGGTTCGTTGAAAGCTCTCTTTCCGTGGAGAAGAAAACTTACACTGAATTATTGTTTCTTAATTTTGGAACAGTGTTAATGGTTTTGATTGAAAGGGAAAAAAACGAGATTTTTATTGTAAAATTCCGGGCATCTTTGAATTAGGATTTTTGTTAGGTTTATTTTAGAGAGTAAAATTCGAATGAATTGTATTTTGTGGCGAAAATAACCCTGTATTTTTATAATTTTAATATATCATAGGACATATTTTCATGAGTAGATGTATTATGGGTTATGGACATAGTACATCTAGGAATAAATATTAATAGGTTTTTTGAACTTATGTTTTGTATTAAAATAATTTTTGATTTATTTGTAGATCCAAAAAATTAATTAATCCTAATAGACATAATAATAAATATTATTAATATATTCACTTAGGGCAGAAAATGATAAGATAAAGTGTGAGAACATAGTCATAAGAGAGACCCTGTAGACTGTTTATCTTCCCCTTTTGTGGTGGTCCTCCTCTCAATAAGGATTCTTATTTAGATGAGCAAAAATTGAGATTGGAGAATGCACAACTCAAAGAAGAGGTAACCCTGGATCAACGAATAGCAAGTAATGCAAAATCTTTCTAGTTCATTCCTTTTTTCTTTTTTCTTTTTTACGATTTGTGTATTGTGTCTATTAAGTTTGTAACTTAAATCAGTATAAAGAAACTATTATTACAAAACCACTGTTACTAGAATGTTATTTGTTTTAAGAAATAAATAAACAAAACAACAAAATGCAATAACCAAGAAGTGTGAGATTTTGGTTTAAATTACTTTGATTGATAATAGTGATTTTTAAGTGTATAATCCATTGGGCATCAATGTCAAGTTGTGTGAATGGTAAGAAGCTTATGAGGACCAGTGGTGGATTTGAGGAAAGAATTGGGTTTGAAGTTTGAAAGGAAAGTTAGGATAGAAAATATATGAAGGAAAAGTTGGCCTAAAAAATTTATGAAGAGGGTATAATAAAGAAGTATTTATGTTTTAAAAAAAAAAGACGTATTTACATTCAAATTTAAAAATTGACAATATGAGAAATGTCTTGGCCAAAAACAAAAAATGAGGATAATAAAAATTTTCCTATAATAAATTCCCTCCAATAACTCAATAATAAATGCATTATCCATACAAATTTTTTATAAACCAATTTCTCATAAAATTTATATGAACCAATCAAGTAATAGAATACCTGACATATATATTACATGAAGAATATTATTTTTATCAATAATTACTTATTTTTCTTTTCTTATTTATGACTGTTAGTATGTTTAAAAATGAGATATTCATGTCCCTTGAAGCAACAAAGGTATGTATGAACCAAACTTGAAAACTTTCTCCATTAGATAGTAAATAAATTCTTTTTTTATTTAAAAAAGAATATATTAGTATAATTGCTTGCGTTGGTCTGTTAAGTAATTTAAATTATAAGTCTGTACAATTTAAAACTACCATTCCTTATTTTCATCATAGACGACCTTTTGTATTGTAGAGTATGGATGTTGTTATAGCTCCAAAGTCATTATGTTAGGAGCTATATAAAAAGATCCACATATTAGGTTAATGAGAAGACAAAAGGTATTGTTGTAAGTTTGTAATATTAGAATATTTGGGTTTATTTGATATTGAATCAAATTATAGTGATAAATGATGTATTTTTTTGTAATTTTAGGTTTACTTTTTGAAGCGAATACCGAATTGTGACAATTTTATGGTGGCTGGGATAGA